CACTTGCAACGACTCATAACATTCGTGTTTTTGGGGTATGTCCAGCGGGAGAATAAAGCCACACTTGAAAGTAACTCCCTCCTGAACTCTGACTTGAAGAACATATCTCGCAGCGTCCACTGAAAACCGCTAAAACAACAGCTAGATTGGCACACAACATTGACAATGTTTCCTTGCACTGAATTCCGTCCTCAAATCACCATCATGACTTTACGGAAAAACACCGAAAACTCACCAGGCATAGGTGGAGAATTTGGGTCTATCGGTGTGCTGTCATCATCGAATGAATCGTGCTGCAATGTCTAAAGGCACATTAACATCAAACAACTGTTGTCTAAGGGATAAAACACAAAAAAGTGCATTGAATTTTTCAGCGATAAATATGAGACATGATATTACGACAGGGAACAAGTTTCCGTAGGCAATACAGACTTACGACCACACAATACAACACGTTATTTTAACAAGTATTTAAACAAAGCCAAATGCTAGCATTTTTCAAGAGGCATTCGGTGCTGCTATGACAACTTATAAATTAAATGATTGGATTAGCACATGCCCTAAGATAGACAGTCAAATCTGCAGAAGACCTATCCCATTCTCTCTGAAAAAATGTTACCAGTGCTGATCTAGTTAAAGTTACAGCAAATCAATAAAAAATCATTACAGAAGGAAAGGGAGTACAATTTCACCTAAGGCATGATTAAAAGGGAACTACGTACAACAAATCAGGCTAAACTGAAAATCATGAGTGCATTCTCGTGGATTGACGTAGTCATCCACTTCAGGATCAAACTGTTGGCCCCCTTCTAAATGTTAATTTAACAAAAACACAGCGAGAATTAGAAAGTAGCATGGCTACAGCACCCCATTGTTTGGTTTCAATTTGAACATATTTGTAAAAAAATGAAACGGGATTCGTAAAAGTCTTTGGCTGGAGGGATTTTACAGACTACGATTAGATTGCCTGAAATGCTATGAGGTTACTCTAGATAAGAAAAAAGCTTCTGTCGTAATCCATGTAAAGTGAGGCTGCACAATTTTCAGCCTAACATTAAAACAAGGAAATCGTTTGTTTTTAAACCTGGGTTGTCATCTATTATTTAGTTAGAGATTATGCTTAAGTCCCACAAAGGCACCTGTGAATACAACAGAGACTCTTTGGAAATACTAGCAGAGACTTGACCGTGAGCGCCCAACTTTAAATACAACAACCACTTTTTTGTCGAAAATCCACAATCTTATTAGAAAAAGAAATCTAGTCAATTTAAAAGAGCCTAAGCAAGTTTGCAGCCCCGCCATTTGTTTAACGTGATAGGTTATAAAAAACCTGAGCTATATCCCAAAAGAAGACTTAATCTCAATGGAAATATCTAAAAGTGCACAGCAAACCATCAGCCAAAAACAAACGATGCATATCTGACAGTACATTTGTGCAAACAAAACACGAACAAGGACTTAACCTAATCGTGTTTACAATTTAACGGAACATTCCGTCTGCTTACTGTCCCACACAGCGAGAAGCCTAGCGGCAATCTTAAAATATACACATCACACACAGATGGCGATTGCCTCTCGCACTTCCCACGCTACACCTTTACCTTTAGCCTCATTAATAAAGTTCTGTCTGTGCTACTTCTATGAAGGAATCCGACATTAATTTTCTTTGCAGCTGTCAGCCGTCACACACTGTTTCCCCTTAAATGAAAGGCCGTGCTTATGAGCTCAAAGCTGCATTAATAAACCAGTTTACTTAAATCAATCAAGATTGGAAGAAGGTGTAATTAAGAAATGGGTACAAAAGTGTTTAAGGACTTGCAAATTATTAAGGTCCCAATGCCAACTGTTAGAGCACAGAGGTGGTAAATTAAAATTATTAATTGGGGTGTGAGCTCTCATTATTAGATTTCCACTACATTGCGAATTAAAAAGATCGAATCGCAGGTATTTTCCGTGAACTAGAAGAGTAAGAGAACCGAAAACATGGTCTAGTAGTAATAGTGAGTGACCAATAATATAACGTGACATAAAAATAAAATACTGCATTGAAGGTACACTTCTTCGTCTGAAATATAAAACTTGGTTTCAATAAAACCAAGGCGAAGGATGACTACGAATGATTAGCAGATTGAAAAACACGACGTCCTACGAAGTAGTGCTTAGAAACTAGAGCACTTACGCGGGTTTGACGAAGTTGTTGGCGTCTAAATGCAAATCCGTTTGCCTCTGAATCTCTCTAAAAGTGGATAAATACTTAGCCAACCGATGCCAAAGAAACACGAGTAAAATCTGGCTAACGGTGTACTTGCCGTATACTCTTCTAGTGATAAACTATTCAATTCGCAGAGGGTTTTCACATAATCGGACTTATTCTACAAAGAGTAAAAATAACGTAAAAGTTTCTGAAGTGCAATCTACGATTCTCATTTTTCCAAAATAAGACTGAGAAACATCAAACTTGCACCAATTGACTAGACATATTTTGAGCCTAGATACATCCTGTCTACAACACACCTATAAATACTCAGTAAACAACCGAATGAACAAAATCAAAGTCGGAGTGCTACAAAGTGTACGGGTCGCCTCAGTATTATTGCAACGAAACATTAAAATAAAATCCTTGATCATAATATGGTACGGCTTTTATGCCATAGAGAATTAACACATCAAGCAGGTTGTTAGGACAGTTATACACAATATGTTCCTCAAGAAACGGTAGGTGAACTCAGCAAGGCAGATAAACTGTCCGCAAATAACTATTTAGAGATACTTTGCTCATAGTTTAATTAGAGGACAATTTTTTCCCTTGCAGCTAAATATTCTTTGTTTATACATGGACTGGTTAATTGAAAGTATTAGGACTGATAAAGGGTGAAATATTCCCTACCGTATATTAGAGCTTAATATTGCAACAATACCCAGAGATGAACTTTTACACTTACCTAGCGTAAAGAAAAAAGTCTATTGATGTTGAAATATCGTATATTTAGCATTCAATATCAAAATTATGAAGGAAACACCAACGGTACGTCAAGGTAAACATCCTACCTCGAGATATTTTTGCTTTATTAATGCTGGTTCTAAATGAGGATGAGATTTCCTTAGTTTATGAATGTGCCGGGGTCGTTTAAAAAAACTCATTAGTCCTACGACAAAATAATCCAACGTTTATAACGTTGAGACGGACAGTGAAGCGCTCGACGACCTTCAGTTAGTTGATGTTAACGGAATGCAATAATTGAAACTGACAGATATGAATGGTCTTAGTAAACTTTCTAAGGGCAGAGAAAAATTATTTCGGCAACTTAGACCTAATGTAAGTACAAGATAATTTGGCGAACATCAACTTTCAAAATATGGATAACAAAAACAACAGTTCTTCAGATTGATAAAATAATCTATTGAGCTGAATTGGTTTTGAGGAGGTATCTTATGATCAAAAAGAGTTAAATTAATTTAATGTCAACCCAAAAAATATAATTTAAAGTTTTTGACAGCTGTTTCCGTTAATTTCAAGACAGGAATAAATGAACTAACAATTGTTGGGAAAAAAGGTTAAATTTCATTTCGGCAGAAATCTAATTCGGACCCTGAACGTTACTGCATCAGTTTGATACATAAAAATGCAATTTGGTGTCACAATATCGAAAACTCACAGATTTAATACTAAAGAATCAGATGAATTTACTTAAAAGTCTTTTTGATATTGGATAAGTTTACGACGTGGAATATTTAAGGGCTGTTTTGCTATTTATGGACATTATTAATTAGTCAGTCTACTTGATTATCGACACCAGCGCTAGCTTCTCAATTCTATGCATTTTGACTTACATTGGTTCTGTGGTGACATATATTAGACCGCTTACATTATCTCAAAAGTTCGGTTTAAATTAAACCAGGTAAGAAAATTTCATTCAAAATGAATGAGTAAAGTCTAAACAATTCATTATCTCATTTGCCTTAAAAATTCAACGAAAGAAGGTGCATAATTAGATAGGTTAATAATTTCTTTCAATCAAAATGACAAATTTACGTTTAGAATTTTGTTTTGACAATATGGTGACATTTTTTCATCTTTTAAATTACCTGTTTGAATTATTTCAGAGAAATCCATCGTCGTCTACTTAAAATAAACACATTAGTTATATTAATGAAACTCGAGTCAATAAAATAAGCTTGCTCGATGAGATAGAAGTGTTTTTCAGAATTGGTGTGGAGTGATGCGAAGCTCACATTCACATTAAATGCCCAAATATTTGCATATAAACTCTACATAATTTTTAAAATTTTAATTGTGCATACGGGAAGGCAAATTTTCAATCGCTGTCGAAATGGGCATATTTGACCAAACTTACATGGTCTTGAAAAAGCACACAAACCAAAATTGAAACATCGACCTTTTTTAGAAAAAAAGGTATTTGACAACCAAGGATCTCCGGAATACATGCATCTTAATTTACTTATTCGTGCTGCATATTCGTGGTCACTTGTGGCCAAGGTGAATTGAAGCTTGCATTTCGTGAACTACAACCAAATTATGTCTCTGTCACGGGGTATACTAAAAAAACCTTTGAGTCATATGTATTAAGATCGCTACCGTAGTTGGGCACATTGTAAAATTTATTTATCAAATAGGGTGATACATTTATTCTCTGGTGATTAATGATACGGCAATGAATATATGTTGGGTTAAACAAAGGTATTCGGTGTTTATAGGCAAAGGCATAGTCCAATAATATAGCTGAAAATTCAGGTAAACAAACAGTGATCAGGCATAGCTCATCCATTGGATGGATAAAAAATTTGCAATGCGCAGCAATTTTCGTTTTAGCTTATTTTAAATATGTTAAAAAACGCGAGCATACATCAAGCATGTGGTCTCTCATAATTTTATAGTGTTGCAAGCCGTATATTATGTATTCGCAAGTCAATGTTTTAATTTCCCATATGCAAACACTCCATAATTACCGCGGTCTTTAGACGCACTGGTTGTACCTGAGATGTCGATAAAGGTTTTTGTTTCTTCGGCTCCAGGGAACCTTGGGGTATATCAAGATTTGCGTTTTTAGTTTCTGTATTAGGTTAGAAAAAATCAGTACATGCTTTCGACGATTCTGACTGCAAAAAAAATCGACTACGAGCAAATTGACCTAACCGACCCTAAGAACAGTGAATTGAAGCAGGCCCTCATTGATGAATTAAAAGAAAAATCGTTAGCGTTTATTCCACCAATTATTTACTGTGGAGATGAGTACCTTGGAGTAAGCACATTTCTCTTGTCAAGTCCGTAGAATTTCGACGATTTCTTTGAGTCTGTTGAATTGGAAAGTGTCGAATCCTTCCTTCGTGTCCCTGGGGCTACGAATGTATGCCAGTTTTTTAAATGTTGTTTAGCTTCCTAGAAGTCATTCGATGATTTCGTCTCAACGAATCAGGTAGCAGGAATTTAAGTTGCATGAGACTGAGTGCACGTAGCATGCCTCTTGCATGGAAAAAAATTTTCATGGCCAAATTCCATCTTCCTTTTAACATCTACAGGGTGGACTGACCGAATGTGCTGCAAAATCGGTAAGTCGATGGAGTTAATTCCTAGTACGTCTTTAGGATGAAGTTGATGAAAAGAAAGGAAAGAGCGAGGAAGAATCTTCGTCTTCCGCCGGAGAATCGGACAGTGAGGCAGAAAGTGGGGTCGAGTCAACTACCACAAACAAAGCGAAAACCCTGGATGAAGAGGGATCAGGTGCTAAAAAGGAAGTGACGGAGGGCATTGTGGAGGCAAAGACAGAAAAGGCCGTCGAGTCGTCCGCTAATAAAGAACAAAAGGGTGAAGAACAACAGTCCTCAAATGACGCAGAAACCAGTGGTATGGCTAATGCAGAGAAAAATGCAAAGTCCGAGAGCTCGTCAGCGGAAGAGCAAAGTAGCTCCACCGAAGAATCATCCGAGGAAGAGGAGAGTGGAAAGGCCACACCGGTTAAGGAGAAAAAAGTACCGTCCTCTGGAAGTAATTCTAGTTCAGAATCGGTGGGTGATGGTGGGGTTGAGGCGAAAACAGAGACTACTGTCTCCAAGACTACAGCCGACACAAAACTGAAAGAAGAAAGTAGTTCCTCAGAAAGTGAGTCAGAATCTGAATCGGAGTCCTCAGAGGAAGAAAACAAAGTCAGGAAAATGACTCCTGAAAGCAAAACAAAAGAATCGGCTGATGGTGGTGTGAAAACCGCCGAAAAGACTAGTAAGGCGTCCGAGGGCAGCTCCGAGGAGGAGTCTACCAGCAGTGAGGAAGAATCGGAATGATGTCGGTAAACATGTCCAAAACTTTGCTTCCACTTGCAACCGTGTCTTATTTGTATTTGCTTCTGCTCAAGTAACATCAATTCCCCTTATTATGACAAAATCCTATGCTGCTCGTTTCCGCAATAGCACGTTTTCCATTTTAAGGTATTTGAAAGGTCCGCTTAGAGTGCGCCATGATGTGTTTACCGTGCGCAGAGAAACCCTGTTGATCTGCTCATCAGTTTGCTATTTTGCTTTACGTTGCACAGCTAGATTTTTTGTAATAAGTCTATGTGGGGATTACTGTGAAGGTGTGCAAAATTACAAGTTCTCAGAAAGCACAATTAAATTTCTACTAAGCACTGGCGGTAAAGATGTTAAAGTTGTCATTGATTCCAAAAGGCTCGAGTGAGTACATGATGGGAGTGTTAGCTTTTCGTTTCACCATTACTCTCGTATCGGTGATGTGGTCCAGATTCAGGGTTTTCTTAAAAATATGGGGGCGTTGCCGCTGCAGGAAAAGCAACGTAATGCGCGGTTGGCATTTTTATTTTGGTTAGAATAGGCTCCTGCACGTACACAAGCATGCTAAGAATTTGATTTATTTCAAACCTGTGCACCCACCGACGCACCAAGTGGTTAGTGCTACCTGGTGAAGGCAGTACTGAGCATATTAATAACAAAAACGGAATAAGTAATGTGTGAAACGCCGGTTGCATTCGCATTCCCGTTTAATCTGGTACCGATTTGAGAAGTCATGCGTGGCCAGTGTTTTCAAACGTTTACTTCCATGGACTGTATGAATAAGTTTGTTTTGTCGCTGGCGCATGTCTGATTTTGCTCGTCAGTTATGTTTTTAAATTAATTTTATTTTATGAGGGCCAACTGCCTTCAAAGTATGCTCCTTCTTGAGGCCCGTTCATCGTTCGATTTTTCGCTAATGGCAGAGTATCAGCAAACAGGTATTCATTACGTACTGCATTTGTTCCCTCACTTATCTGCTTTATTTACCTGACGGTGTTGAAATCGGCGGAGTTCTAGTGTTATTACTAAAATGGGCGCCATGTCTTGTGGTGTTGTAATATCAATTTATTTTTGTTAGACACTGACAGGTCACAGGTATTAAAAATGACGAAATTCATAGTTAGCCCTTACGGAACCTCAATGTGATCCTAGTCTAATTACGAAACCGGCAACTAGATGTAGCTTTGGCAAGCGATGCCACGGGCCCTTTTGCTAGAACGCATAAACTGCGTCACCAAAGAAGGCTTTTAACAAGAAAAAAACAGAAGTATTATGTGGCCCTAAGTGTCTTATAAAAGGCGCCTGTGGACGTTAAGGATTATCTGCCCCAGTTAAATCAACAAAAGGTAATGCGAAGCGATTGATTATGGACAAAGGATCATAAAAGCACGTTTATTCAGAGAAGAAGAGATGATGGATTAACTTATTTGTAAACGCAAGGTTGACGAGAGGGGTCATAACTAAAGAGGTGTAACAGTCAAGAGTGTATGTATACTATGAATAGCGACCATTTTTTACGGGTACATTCACAACATTTTTGTCACACAATTTGCAGAACTGAAAAGTTATCGGGGTGTACCTAATCTGCGGCTTCAATTACAGCCAATTGTAGAATAACCACACTGCAAGAATATCAGTTCAGAGATTTGCTCAAGTCATCTGAGGAGGCAAATGTAGCCAAAGCTCTGATTAACATTCGAAACGCTGTCCATGCGCACCCTATTCACACAAGCCTGCAGCGTTGCACTCTAATGAGCGCACTAGCGCCAACTTACGCCCATGTTTGAATATTGAAGAACATGTTGCGGCCCCCGTGCGGTTTCGGGAACCACACCAGGGCCGGCGATATACACTGACAAGGCCCTATCCAACGAAGAGCAGAAATGCTGGTGACGCGTTGCTTAACTACTTTATTGATGCATTAGTGGTGTGTGTGTGTGTGTACGTGTGTTTCTGTGTGTGTGTATGGACGTGTGCTTACGTGTGTGTGTATGTGTGTTTCTGTGTGTGTATGGACGTGTGCTTACGTGTGTTTCTGTGTGTGTGTATGGACGTGTGCTTACGTGTGTGTACGTGTGTGTGTTTCTGTGTGTGTGTATGGACGTGTGCTTACGTGTGTGTGTGTGTGTATGTGTGTTTCTGTGTGTGTGTATGGACGTGTGCTTACGTGTGTGTGTGTGTGTATGTGTGTTTCTGTGTGTGTGTATGGACGTGTGCTTACGTGTGTGTGTGCGTGTGTGTGTGTAAAGGATAACAAATGCGTTTATATAGCTCCGCTAGGCATCGATCGCTGAACGAACACAGTTACACGAGGCGCATTCACGAAAATCGATTGAATCGTGTTCGCTCACGACTGCTAACTGTGCTCGCTTGCTTGCTCGCATTACATGACAACATTTGCCCATCGAAGGCAAAAAGGCAAAACACCATGGCAGGTTCCAGCTAAATTTTAGATCAATTGAGTTATTGTTCGTGTTTGTGGTTTGTTTAATGCAATATTGAAAACACCCAAAAGATACAACTTACCTGAGTTTTGCTCAAATGGGATTTTAAATGTATTTCAACGAATGCTAAATTGGGCGATTCATGTCAAATTACGTTATCAAAGTCAGGTTTTCCCAATTCTTGCGTTAATTCTCCTCCTTGTGAAACTTTGACGGTCATCCATGATTCCATTCTAACACAATACCCCAATAAGTTGGGGCTGGTTTTGACAACGAACACTAACGCCTACTGAGGTGGCATTCAGTGCAGTTTTACTTGTTCATTCAGAAAATTGTTGATTTTATTTGAAGATCCTTGACAAAATTGTCCTTGCTTTGAATCTCGGCTTAATTTAATGCTAATTCACAAGGTAATAATTTCGTAACGATGCTCATTTTAATTAATGCGGAATGCAGGCACCAATTCTGATATACTCAAGTCGTCAATAACAGTCGATCACATAAGGACGTTAACTAAGATTCCCACAAAAGTGTTCCGATGACTTAACAAGGAGTTTTGGTTAAAAGATTTGAAGAGTTGAGAGCTGACTTCAAGCTGCAGTTGGAATGTATCAGGAAATAAGCAAAATTCTCTGACTTTTGTACTGTAAGATTATGGAACCTAATTAAGTCCTAACGGTGGGTCATGTTAAATAAAAGAGAAACGCGTTGACAGGGTATCGTACAGTAGGAAATGCAGCATAGCTATTTCACAAAGAGGTTTAGATTGGCATTTCTGGACTTATCTAGTTAGATAACTGTTATGTTGCATCCTTCCTGTCCCTTAGAGCTGACAAAATTAAATTAGTACCTAGTTTGGTAAGTGTAGGTAGAGTTTTGGAAGTGAATCCCCCAAAGTCTAGGGTCCCCAGGCACAGCATTACTAAGGGAGAAGACAGCACAATGTAGCATGAAGATGGTAAAAATTCATAGATCATAATGAGTTGAATAAAACTCCTGCTGACGAACGCTGACCTCCGCTTCAACATCGGCCAATATTTGTCCTAGCAAAATTGACACTTATGGGGTTGGATTGTGTTCGCATGCATGCCACCCTTGTCAAACAATTCAATATTTTGCATATCTGAACCACTTGTTAGCACTGACTAGTATCTACCGGCTAAACAAAGAAATGAAATTTGATGCTTTTTAAATTTTAATAATCTCTAAAAGCAAAGATCATAGATAACCTTTTTGATAAAACGATCTGTCTTTTCAGAAAATTTTTTAGTGGTTGCAGTTCCTTTACTTTGTTGTGGGCCCCAGCGTGTGGTCGGGAACCACGCCGGGGTCCACGGAATTAACCCTGGCGCGATTACGTTTCCCTGATACCCACGATGCAGAAAAAGACCGGAGAGGACGTGGACACAACCGTTTACTTCAGAGCTCAACCACGTTGGTGCCGTTGTGTCGTGTGTGGGGTTTGCGCGTGTGTATTTATACCTCTGATGTGTTGGTCATACATGCGCTAGCATCGAGACCTGGGTATGAGGATAATCCAAGATAAATAATCGTGTGAATGAGGGGGGAGTTGAGGATCCGCGCGGCTGGCGACATGCTGCGAAGAGGGGAACCCCTGTGTCTTATGGTGGAGCGACCGGATTAAGGGGTGTGGATAAACACGATTCACAACATCATGAGTTCAGATATCAGTTTAGAAAAGTTGCCTGGTCGACTAATTCACTGGTTGTGGGTAAACATGGGGCGACTCAGAACGGTAACCTCATTTAGGGGGCTGACGAGCATTGGGGTTAGAATGACGCGCTAAGACAGCAAGAGGTAATAAAAACACCAGCAGAAAAGCTGCACAGAAGTGTTGGCCAGTTGACCTCGAGCCATTTTACTTTTCCAGAGTATCGATTAGGCAAATAAGAAAACACTAATAAAACACTAACACTAGCTTTTCAACAATGATGAAACTCTTTGCAGCACAACAAGAAGGTTTCCAAATCTATAAAAGAGCTAATGTGTGATAAGGCAACTTTAATACTACAAAATCTGTCTCTGCGATTCGTGAGAGCTAACCCCCAGTGTAAATATCACCTTTACTAAGCCTTGTTAAACAAATGCTTTTACATTACGTGACATGTGGACCGAACGAAGAGTACGACAAATTGTGCTGCGTTTCATGCATTCTTCCATTTTCCAAGCAGACTTGGAGTTGATTTTTAATTAAAACGAGACGAAATTTGCGTATGATATCGGTGTCCACATAAATTCCATCTACCGACTGATTTAGGTGATGAACTGGACCCGATTGTTCATTGTTCCAACGGGGCTAACTGAACAGTTTTCCCGCAAGTCTATACCCCACGCTTTCTCTGACTTACTCAACTTTCACAGAGGCCTTCCTCAGTGAGTGCAGAATCCTTCGGCAACCCGAATCAGCAAAGCGTGGGTTTGTTTTTCAAGTGGATTACGGGTTGTGCCCTCCCTACTACTGGCATCTACATTTAATGGGTTATCGGGTTTTAGTATAATACCCACATAAACACACGTGGGATCGTGTGGGCTGAATTAATTCAGTTCGTTCCCACAGATTCAGAATCAATGGCGGGTCCCTAAAAACAGGCGGCAGCTTCTATTGTAGAAAATTTTCGTTGCAATGGTGTTTTGTCTTTTGCATTCGATAAGCAAATTTTGCCATGTAATGCATTTTTCCACATGCACGAATGGACACTGTTGTGGGCCCCAGCGTGTGGTCTTGAACCACGCCGGGGCCACGGAATTAACCCTGGCCTTATTTCGTTTCCCTGATACCCGCGATGAAGAAAAAGACCGGAGAGGACGTGGACACAACCGTTTACTTCAGAGCTCAACCAAAACTGGTGTCGTTGTGTCTGTGTGGGGTTCGCGCGTGTGCATTTATAGCTCGGATGTGTCAGTCATTACTGCGCTAACATCGAGACCTAGATGTGCGGTTACTCCAAGATAAATACTCGTGTGAATGAAGGAGAAGTTGAGGGTTCGCGCGGCTGGCGCCATGCTGCGAAAAAGAGGAACCTTGTTTCGGAGGCGGGGCGATCGGATTAAGGGGTTGAATAAACACGATTCACAATAGCACCATTTGGGAGTAAGTTAGCTCTAGTGCACTTACGAGAATGCCATGCAGTAAGCGTCAGCCCATCGAAGTCAAGAGGACACTGCAATCACTCGGTGGCTGGATACATGTGTTCATGTGGATAGGATGCACATTGAGAGTGTTCTACAAGTCAGTCGAAGCCTTGACTATGTTTAGCCACTTGAATATCTCCTGCAAAGCGCAAATCGATGTTCTTGTGGCTTCTTGGGCACATAATTTGCTTGTAGCTTTCGGATTGCGTATATTCTCACCAAGCATGGTGAATGTAAATTTAATCGATCATACTGAATCTATTTCTCTTAGTGATGTTCGTTCAGAGATCAGATTTCTTATGTTTCCATAGCAATTGAAGCTCTTGCACGCGAAAGAGCCACGCTAATGCTTCTTATTTTGTGGTTGGACTCTGTCTACATGGGTCAATGGCCCAAGTGCTGTTTGAGAACCATGCTGCGGCTTTTCCTGGCTTTAACTGACACGACGAATAACGTAAGCTCTGGCATTTTTCAGTTCCGCAAATAAATTTCAATTAATGTTAAATGTATGACGCATAATATTATGCAAGTACTCATACAGGGTTTTGTTATTAACTTCTGATTCTTCAATCTTACCAGCACTGATCTCTCTCATCAACCTGGTACCATAAGTAAGTTACTTCATTATCTCTTCTTTCCTGACAATAAATGCCCTCGTAATTGTCGTATAATCGTTAGTTGACTAGGTCCTTAGCTTCAGCTACACATTACCATGTCTACTGCCACAAGCATATTTTTCTTTATGTGAGCAAGCTCCCACTTTAAAGTTATTGGTTCCACACCATTAAGAGACACAGAATTCAATAGGTAAAAACGATTACGTCAGATCTTTCTTGTCACCTATTAAAATTATACATTTAATGTTTAGCATTAGATGTCACACGGAGAAAACAAATGCTCTCTATGGTCTTTGAAAATTACAGATCGTCTCAAAATACCGGCAAAAATTACGATTTCTCAAATTTACGCTAGCGCAAACAAAAATGCACTTTTAATGAATGTTTTGACAAATAATTTTGTCCTAACACTTTCTTACTCGACAGAATATTGCTATCTGCTATCGATCGAGTCATTAATGCTCTTAACAAAAAGTTCTAGTCGCTTGAACTTGGTGTTGTGTGGAGTTGTCCACTCAGATTAAGTGTAATGGTCCCTAAATGAAGAAATGTTGACACCGAGCCCTCCTACAGTTAACTTCTAGTGACGTCGATTGTTTGATTTTGTTTTATGGTGACACACTTAAGTGGATAAAAAGAGCTCAAAAAACGATTTATTTCAGATTTTGGTATCGAATCTTATTCCCTACTTGCATGGAAATGATTTCGAATTGATAATATCAATGGTGTAGCAAAGACATAGTAGTACCACACACAATATTTACCACGCGTTGTGTTTTGTTTACCCTGTAGTTAACATATTTTCTTCGTTTAAAGAAAAAAATATGAACCTGAAGAACATCGCCGACACAACCCTATTAGGTGGAAAGCAACCATTCCAATCATATAATATTTGAAAATTAATAGCAGTTTTCACAGTAATACCATTGTGAAAGGCTCCAGTATGTGATATTGTACCCCAACGAGGCCACTGCGTTTAATTTCGCCTAGTTTCTCTGCACCGATATCCACGAAGATCAAGAAGACTGGAGATAGCGGATAATGAAACAGCCAGGTTATTGAATTCAAAACATATCCATTGCTAATTAAAAATTAAATGTCTCACCTATGCAAGCATAACTTAGCACACATTTGGAGCAATCACTGCATTAGAGATATTACAATAAACCCAATAGTGGAACATAATGCCAATGAACGAATAAATATATTGATCAACATAATCCATTTGCACACTTTTAACACATCATCCCTAACTGTAGGCAGACTTTTTAAAAGTCATAAAATATGTCCTTTTGAGGAAACAAGGGGCATTGAATTCCTTCAAAATAGATGAAAATGTTACTTGAGCCGAAACATAGTTGCAAGTGGGAACAAAGTTATACACATGTTTGATAAAATTATATAAAGTAAACTTAAGATTAGCATTTAAAAAAGGAAAAAACCTAAACCCATAATTTTATTAAGTTCCAAATGGAACCGTGACCTTGAGGAATCTATTGTTTTATAATTCTCAAAACGCCACCTGTATAAAAGTCTGATGCTTCTGCTCTTTTACAATCGTTTTGGCGATGTCGTGTAGTAAATCCCGAATATGGGGCTTTTTAACTGTTATTGGGGCCGCACTTTTTCACTTGTCTCTTGGATATACCTACACATCTGGTAACATGAGCCCATACTTGAGGTCCTACATGAATATTACGCATGGAGAAACTGTCTGGTTTCATGCTGTTATTATCTCTTGTCAGGCAGCAGCAATGCCACTTGGTGGTTTGCTAGAATCAAAGATTGGATTTCGCCCTGTTGTAGCAGTCAGCGCTCTTTTGTGCAGGTAATTTTGTGTCAAATAACGATGGGTTGTATATCTTTCCCCAACACGTACCTTCTGTTACAATTTTTTTGTTTGTTGTTTCTAGTGTTGGTATAGCTCTCTCGGCATTGACTGTAAATTATGGTCTTGGTGCATTCCTTTTCACTTACACAATTATGTTTGGAATTGGAATGGGTCTGCCTTATTCTGTTTTGTTTTCTTTGGCTGCAGAAGTAAGTACTTTTATCATACAGACAATTAAAATCAAACAAATTTGTCACAACGTATAATTTACGTATTTATTGCATCAAGGACTTGCTACATACTAGCTAAATTTAATACTTACATGGTTATTTTCAATAATTTTTTAATTAAAGTACTGTTCTCAATACTATTACTATTTACTGTTTGTAAAACAATAAATGAAATCAAATTTTAAGTTTTGATTTTTCACAAAAAATAGTGGTTTCCAAAACACCGAGCAGTTGTAATTGGAATAATTCTTGGAGGATTTGGCATGGGAGCGCTCGTTTTCACCCCGATTCAAACAGCTCTGATCAACCCGAACAACTTGCCAACTACAGAGTCAGTTTTTAATTTATATACAAACAGTCTATGATTTGTTAGAGGCTAAAAGCAACGCTTTTTTGCAGTCCTGAGGTTCGCATGAGGGTTCCTCGATCTTTCCTCATTCTCGCTGCAATCATGTTTGGTCTGCAAGTCATAGGATTTTTCCTATGCCATAAATATAAGCCCCATGTAGGTTCAAAGCATTTGGCTGTTTCAGTTTTACTTTTTATTGTGCAGTCATATTTATTTATGTTAAGGTTGGTGATGGTGGGGATCTCGGAGGTGATTCAAGTGACTTGTAAGCAAACATAACTCTGTTGCATTCACTCACTGCACGTTGCATTGATACTTGAGGCACTCTAATCAGTACGGTTGGGTCAGAAAGACTTTTTTTTAGGTTTGCTATACATTTTGATGCATTTGTTGAGCAATATGCGGAATACAGAGATAACTCAGCCATGGTCTAAATAGATTTGCCAACTTACCATAAGCTTAAAATTAAATTGGATTATTAAGTCGTAACTCGTTACAATGGAATTTCACTAGATTTGACTTATTATAACATCTTTCTAAGTAACCTGAAAATTGACATAGTTTTAATTTTCCAATAATCTTTTTCTTAATAGGAAAATTGATGACGAATATGAACTTCAGTCAATTACAATTGAATCTGATAAAGAACAGAGGTAATAATTATACGAATAGCAATTTATAGTTGTTTCGTACTCAGTTTAAGTGCGTTTGTTTGACATTTTAGCAGTTTACAGGACACGGTAAATTACACCGTAGGCGAGGCACTCAAGTCCATTGACTTTTACCTTATTGGATTTATAGTTTTCATAAACACAATACCAATTACATTACAGTCAGTATTTTATAAGGTAAGTAATTGCTGATTAGTCTGCAAGGTAATCTCATCACATAAGTGCATTTATTTACTAAAAACTACAATTTTTGCATTTTGCAGGTATTCGGAGCACAAAATCATCTGGACGATCGTTTTTTGTCAATTGTGGCTACTTGCACAGCCATATTTAACTGCAGCGGACGGGTTATTTGGGGCTTGATTTGTGACAAAATTTCATTCAAGGTATGCTTGGTTTCCATAACAATGAGATTTTGTGTATGTTCATAAATTACTACCCGAAGACCCACAAAAACAAGTTTTTTGAATCACGAACATAAGTTGCAGTCTATAGGCGGATCGTGCCATAAATTTCGGTTATTCTTGACGCGATCAACTCCATAATTTAAATGCACTTATTAATAGACGAAAAATGCTCTGCTACCTGGTTTTGTTGACCTCTTTAAAATGTAGACTTCGCATACCTAGCGTTTTAAAGTGCGGTTTAGTGCACAAGTCGGCTGCTCTGAGTGCATGTTTTCACACTACATACCCCTGAGGTCAAACGTATTTAAGCAGAACCACAGATTTGAAGTCACACTGAGTTCCTACAACAAATCTTTATAGCCAGCAGGTCTGCCTACCTTTTTTTCCAGCTTCCCCTCGAGTGGCTGCTTGTTCAGTGGGCCATCCTATTTGGTACTCTCCCAGTGATTGCCATGACGAGGGCTTTTCAGGCCCTCTTTGCAGTGTGGGTGTTCTTACTCTTCTTCACAATGTCAGGACACTTTGTACTTTTACCTGGAGCATGTTCACGCATCTTTGGACCAAAGTACATGGCAACAACATATGGACTGCTCTATTTCACAACGGCAAGTGGTCGTGTTGAAATTGAAACGACTATAACTATTTTGGGGTGAATTGTATCCAAAATAGAATAGTTTAATTTAAAGTAGATTTATTCAAAAACGAGGTACATATTAAGTCTAGGTGATTTACTTGTCATAAACACCCACATCTCGTAATTCAGATACGGAAATGTGGAAGGTCTCTGTAATGGAATTGTTTTCGGTGACCACCAGAAGCAAAGTTCTGAATTCAAGACAGTTTTTAAAGGATGACGTTTCTGAAGTTACTTCACATTTGTTCTAACAGGGTGCGAAATTCGTGAATACCTTAATGATATTACTCCAATCCGTTGGGAGTTGAGTTCAAAATGTGGGAAACTTTAGTTCTCTTTCAAACTGTAACCCTGAACAATGAACAAATTCTAGACTTGAACGAAAAAATGTGCCCATTTCCATGAAGTAAAGCTTTGCTAATACAAAAAAATAAATGATAACATCACAATTGTGGTGTCGAAAAACGAGAGTAGCTTAGATTTGCACGGGACATCGTAATAATGAATTTAGCATTCAACTTAGTTGAGACGGCTAGTCACATTAAAAAAACGTAATGCCAAATGAATATATTGAGTTAACATACTCTTCGAGACATTTTTTACTGAATGAAAAAGTTTTCGAAGAAAGAATTTTTTTTAAGTTAGAATTTTCAAGAAAAATAATCCATTTCTTAAGGGTTAAGTCATAATTAAAATTAAGCTCAAATTTGTGCAGCCTTCTCCAATTTTATTAACTCATGATTGGTCAGTACTACTTCTCTAGGAAAGCGGTCATTGAGTGTGGTCAAATTTGTATGCTCACTGACATTTATTCCTCATCATCGGTAACATCACAGAGTTGTTTAAATCACACAAAAATCTCGCACAATCAGTTGCCCTCCATAAATTCGGGACACTGTTTTCCGTCAAAATATTGCAACGAGCTTAGCCACTTGACAAGTAGAATAAAAAGAAGCTCATTATAATGAATCGCTCTTTTTAAGAAAACCGTGTAATGTAAGACATTTAAAAGCCCACCTTGTCCACGGCTTTAAAAGAATACGGAAAGGCCACATTTCTTTAAGCATTGTGCTTAGTTACCCTAGCGACACTTGGATCCACACCAAACTGTTTACAATTTTCTTAAAAACCGAATCCACCCCAATTTTTCTAAACCTTCATTCGATTGTTTACCAAAACAACTAGGGAATATTGGCGAGTCCACTGTCATGGTATTCAGGTTATAAATTGGCAGCTTCTTTAGTTACTGTGTGAATAGTAATACTTGACCTTACTGACATTCTACAGCTTTCTCATTTGCCCAAAATGCATGAAGGCTGGCCCTCTCCGTCTACTGCTCCAACAATTTTTATCAGAAAGTTATTTATTTTATAGGCACCAAGTGCACTGATCTTGGCCGCTATTATGTCGAGTGTTGAAATCGACAATTTGAATCTAGTCTTCTTCTGCTGTTGCGGCCTGTGCCTTCTCAGTAAGTCGCCAGTTTCTAAACTCTTGTAGCATCATCTCAGAAGTAAGGAGCAACCAAAAAATTAAACTCACACCAACTAGACACTTAACATAATCCAGTGTGGAACTAAAAGCTACCCACAATGCAGTAAATTACAAAAAAATTAAGCTAGTCCAAAAAGTTATTCCAAAGCACGAACCAAAGTCTGAAATAATGGCCATAGATGACAGTCCATAGCTAACAGAGATCAGGCATCTAAATAATAGGATAGATACACTTTTATCGAATTATTGATTTCTGATTTTAGGCTTTGTGTTTGCGCTCTTTATGAAGGACAAACAAGGAAAGCTATGCAAAATCACAGATGTGTCTGGAAATGTATGCGACTTATGTCGCCCATCTAAAGTTGGAAACATGCACGTCGATGAAGAGACCGTGGAGGGAGATGAACAGGGTTCAAATGTCTCCTAAGGGTGTCTGATCACTGTACAATACCACTAAATCAATTTGTGCTGGTTGTAAAAATTTGCTTATAGCTTTGTGAAATACATGAGGCCTGTGTAACAAAGCTGCGTTTTGCTCGTGACTGCTGTAGGTCAAATCAAGTCCTTTGATGGACTAAATTGCCTCACAGTCACGTGAGTTAGGAACGCTTCATTAGCAAAATATACTTCATGGATAAGGCATCATGTCAACCATGATTGAGCCGGTGTAACTAAGGTGGCTCGTGACTTCACTCTAGCTGACTCTGTAACGCGTGATATGTGGACATACATTTGACAGGTTAGTTTAGAGTGCTGATTTAGGCTAACTCGTGTCCAGCCAAATCGGTCTATTTAGTTATCTACTTCCCACAAGAAGTTGGACAAGTTGATTGCCTTGGCAAAACACTGCCAATTAAACGTGGCCTCTTCCTGTGGAAATACGAATTATGAGTTGAGATTGGTGACACTGTTGTGGGATTGGTTGCGATGAGGTCAATTTAGGAAGCACACAAAACAGTACCTTTTCATATTTTCATTGATTGAGTAATTGTTTACCTGTTACACCCATAGATGCTGTACGAAGATGTCACGAAGGGGTTTTTTTATCATGACTAAAATTGCTTTCTTTTTGTTTTCTCCTTACAACGTTTGTATCCAGCTTGCGGCGTATTTTATAATCAGACGGAAGTTCCTCGGCTTAATACCAAAGCAGCCGACTCACTCAACTCATAGTCTATAAAAAAAAATTTAATTTGTGTGCAGAGGGCCCACTGATATGATGTAATTGTTTTGCTTATTGTTCCATGCTTGTAATTAGCACCTGATTAATTCCCAAATTGTTTACCTGATTCACTTGTAGACTGTGTTTCCCATATATAAGTTAAGAACAAAATGAACTCGTTTAAGCAACCTGAAACAGGGAGAACAAGTTTGTCTATGCACCTCCATTTGGTTGCACAGAAACTAGTCGATGAATGAGGCTACGATTAGGATGGCAATTTAAGTACAAACATGAAAGTGTTAGTCACATCCTACCCTGGACATACATTATCCATTTCTTTTGATATTTCCTCGATTTGGTTAAGCAAAAGTGGCTTTCGCTCTCACTTCGTGTCCTTAGCACTACGAAGTTATTTAATGAAACTTATTTAAATTGCCATCTTCCATTTTGGAATCGTCGCTTTTAATGCAAAATTCTGCACCTCACGGATTTTTTCCTGAATTTCAGTCTCTAACCAGAGTCCATTTAGCTGGTCGTGTGAAGGCATAAATCTGCAAACCAAGTTAATACGTGAACTTTCCTTCAAGCGCGATTCTGTTTGATTTCACTTCACCTTGAGAAGCTTAGCCCTCAAATGTCTCCAACAGTTGAGTATCACGCCAGAAATGAGTGTTGATGACGGCAGTGTTGACGCGGCTTCAACTGTAAGCTTCTAAGGAAACCAAGGTTACGCGTGGGGTCTGCAAGATCTTACGCACCCCTCATCGCTGGACTTGCGCAAGCAATCTCAAACTTTGTTTACCAGAATTTTCTAGGCTGAAAAACATAGACATTTGACTTTGTGTCTCAATCAGCCAAACAACCACCCACGTGGTTTGTGCATATTTGCTCCTAGCATTTTATTTGAGGCATCATCTGAAGTTTACCCGATCGATTTAAGGTTCGTTGGTTTTTCGCACCAAAAATGTTTTTGTGCCTTAAATTGTGCCTCAATCCCAGGCCTGAATCTCCTTTTGGATGAAAAATGACTGTTGGAACTTCGAAACAGCAGTAAAACTGTGAAAGATCTTGTCAATTTTCTGTAAAATCCATTTGTAATGGCATATTTACTGCATGATTTGTTCTACTTTGCTCAAGCTAACAAACAGCAAATTAATAAACCATTTACTTCTTATATTCTTACTATTTTGCTTGAAGCTTAGGCATGCTATTAAAACGGTGGAGCCAAAATAAGTTGGGACAAATGTTCGGGAGAACGAAATTGCTGTGTCCTTACAGCTTTAAATCTTGAAATTACCAAGTGTTGGTGGGATGACGAACTAATTCAGGCCACAGTATTTGCCAAGATCGGATTTAGCTGTGGCGTTCTAGTTTTGCCAACAATATGCATTTTAGCCTCACCAGTATGATATCCTGGGCAGTGTATTCTGGAGCTACACATGGCCAACTTACCTTCTGCTGCTGAAAAAAAAGTTGTTTTAATATAATCGCATAGTGTAGTCATATCATTGTCATCATCATTAAGAGAAACTAAATCGGTGCTTTTATTATCTACTCTCTTTGCGGTAGTTGACTTAGCACACCTTCCGGTATTAGCATTGGGTAAAAAGAATGAGAACATTGAACACAAATGACATGGCGAACAGCTGCCGAAATTCGTCCTTATTTTTAGAAATTTGCTAAAAATTGAATTTCAGTGGTCTCGTTATGGTCTACAATTATGCCGCATTTCAGCTGAAACCTCAGTTAGACTCTATTCTAGCACTGGGTGCAGGAGTTGTAGATGAACCTCGAAAAGCATGGAGAAATAGGATGTTTCTCCAGATTCAAATCATTTTTCATTTCATCTTCCTTTCTTTCGTAAATCATTGCCAAAATTGTGCTTATTGGCATTATGGTCTGTCCACGAATCAACATGTACGACGGTGAAAATGAACGCGCAAAGCGTCTGCATTTTTAAGAACAGTCGATCCCTTTTTCAAGCCAAATGCGTGCAAATTTCATACTGTCATTGTTATCTTCAGTCATCGAAATGTTAGTAATGCCCTTCAAGCAGCGTAGAGCCTTACGATCGGCACTTTGAAAAAAGCTGCCTACCAGAATTGACCAAAGCCCTATTTTTGTTCCCTAGTATGTCAGTACTTCACCAAATGACCTTGCAGCAAAAATCGATACCAGCGGAAATCTTGTAAACACATCTCAACAATAATTATTACATGTCTTCTTTTTCTGCCAAAGCTTAGGTTCATCTGTTAAAAAGTATCTTTCCTCGATGTTTTAGTAATAAGAGACCCATTGTGAAAATATTCAATTTTTTTACTAATTTACATGGAATTCATTTTTCAACCCTGGATAAGAAGTTAATTTTATGAACTTACAATAACAGAATTGAAAACCGTAGATTCGGATTCCGCCACTTTGCACGAATTGAAATTAACGGACAGATCTATGGTCTCGTTGGCATTGAATCACATAGCTTTGATGCGTAAAATTATTTGGTTGCCATAATGTCACCAGAATTTTCAAGCATTCTCCTCAAGTTAGGTTTATCAAGCCTGGACGTCAGCGAAGGTAATAGTAGACTCAAAATCACCTAAGTGATATTGCAGTCCTCATTTTGATGAAATTGAATAGAGGTTTGTGCTTCGAGTAAAAAAAAACATTCCATTTCCCATCGTTTGATTTTTGCGAAAAACATTAAAATAGGTGTGATTTACTTTGCAGTAAATTTTTGTTACACTGGCAAGGCATGAGTGGACAAAACCTATTTTGAACAATAACTACGATTTGAAGTGACACAATTTTGCCTTTCCAGTAAAAAAACCATGTTAGTGCACGTCTAGTGCAAGTACCAAGACAAACCATTATTATTCCGTATTTATACACAGATATTTAGTCCAGATACTAGACTTGGTAATTCGCTTACAGTGAGTTGTTTTGTTTATATCGTTCTCATGTTTAAGCCAAGGCAAATGGCGGGCACAGACCTCAGCGTCTAGTTGAAACGTTTTGTTTGCGTGAGTGCAAAATCGCGCGGCTGTTTTTGTTTCCACACGATATTGGTTGAACACGATGCAAGATCACAGCAACTATGCCTCGATGCTGTAAACACAATTGGATTTGGGGTTCTCCAACTCACCGTAGCTCTTAAATTCCCATTCCAAGCCCAAAACAGATTAATCCCCGGCAATAGTGCCAAACCACATCCAACTACAGTTGTTTTCCTCAGCCAAATTAGGTCTAATTTTTAAGCATGTGTGACGGGAGGTCAGATAATAGGGTTTGCGAAAGCTCAATCTGCACATCAAGCTTTGGGAGCATCATTGAGCTAAGTGAAGCAAACGCAGTCCTATGCCATTGCCAACTGTCGTTATAGATAGAAATATTTGTCTGTTTGGATTGAAATAATTTATTCACCGGCATTGTAATAACATTTTCACATGTGATTGATCTTTAAAAGCCATATTTTGGCC